CCATCCAACCTTTTTTGTCGCTGCATAAACAGTACCCTAAAAATCAGTACCTGGTGGAGCTATCCATTGATCCCATAAGTGCAAACCTTTATAAATTATTAATGTTCATAAAAGTTCATAAAAGTTCAGCTGCATTACAAATAAGAGCAATTGTGGTATTTTCTTTACCAGTAAAAATTATTGTTCTTGATGAAGGTATATTTATACCTCCCAGAACTTTTGTCTTCCTGGGGTCAATGCACAAGCTACTCTTGTCCAAATTCCAGATTTTCTCAGGTTTGTCTTGAAGACCATATTCGTCCATTATTGATTTTAAGAAATCATAAAATTGGTATATTATAAAAGGATCAAGAGCCTTTTTTCGAGAGTATTCCACGTTCTGTGGAACCTTAATACTTAACCTATGCCTCTGTTTAAACCCCAAAAACCAATCTTCGCCTGGAACTCCATCCTTGAAATTAGTTTTAATATGGTCAGTCTTTACAAAGTTTCCTACAATTTCTAATACTTCTTTCCTTGATAGGCCGTATTCTCATTTTCCCATCGTTTTTAGACCATTGGCTAATCTAACTTCGTCAGCAGTAGAAATTGACGTTGGACGTTCTTTAGTTGCTTTTATTGTTCCCCGTTTACCTTTTACACGGGAATGTAGGGTCACATATGGTTTTTGTAAAATTTTGCGGCCTTATAAATTGATGTTCGACCTGCTAAAACATCAGAAATTGCAACGTTGAGATCAGCTGTCGATTATTTTCTTTCATTTGAAGTGTTTATTTTATAGCAGCGAACCATGGTATCTATAACAAAAAAATAAACCTTGTAAAACTTGCCCTACCACTGTTTAAATTTTAAATTCAAAAAGGTATATAAACGAGGTAAATGTGATACACCAATGACACATTTGCCCCAATCTGTAATAATACATTTACCCCAACAAAAAGTTTAAGGGGCAAATGTGTTACAACAAAAATTTGAGGTTAATGTTAAGTTTTTATTTAAATAACCTACACCATAATGTTCTCCCAAACTAGAATAAACGGCTATGTCAATTAAAATTAAAGTAATAGTCTTACTTACCGAAAAGAGGATATAATACATCACGAACGGGGTACACTTGTAATTATTTAAATAACCATTTTTAAATGCATTATCACAATTGCCCCATTATCACATATACCCCACTTCACCTTATCTAACATTTTTATACATTTTTGAACGTTATTTTTTTATTTAGATTTAGTGCAATTCCGTTATCTGTAATGGCAATAACGAATTGATTTTTAAACACAGGTTTACATTGGGAAAAAAATTGTACCAGTTTTATATGACGGGAAGTGTACCTACTCATAACATAATTGAGACAAATAATTGCAGTTGGAAGAAATAAAATTATGTATTTAGTGAAGAAAATATGGTTCTGTACAATATTTTGTCAACCTCAGGCATGTAGACAAACACAGACTCGATATGATTTATTTTTTTAGCATCGACTGTAGGTTTTTCGGTAATAACCTTTACCATGGAAAAGTAATAATAATATTAGGATCGTTTTTGCCATGTTTTTTAACAGAGCCTAATAAAAGTCTAATAAAAGTAACATTGTCATTTTCATTAAAATCTCATTTAAAACTAATATACAAGGGGTCATCTTTTTTATAGTTAATTTGTTTAACTTTGTGTTTGGCTTACTGTTTGAAAATTTAAAAATCTTTTTTTAGTTGCAGTACCTTGAAAGGTGCTTTACCGGGGGGTATATTTACGAGGTGTCTTAAGTGAAACAGGGCTGTATATTTCCCTATGTTTAAATACTTTTCTATTTTACTGTGAACAGAGTCGATTTCTTGAATTAAACTATTTTTATCTGTAGAGCAGTGAACAGTTAAATTATATACTGAAAACTATTTTTTATAAAAAAAAATTTAATTCACTGATAGGTACAAGTTTTCAAACACTTGGATTGACATTGCCTTGGAGCATGGACAACTCCTTTTTCGTCCTAATATTGAAGCCCATGTTCTCGCTGAACTTTTTTCATATTTCTAGTCTAGTTCTCAGGATTTCTCAATCGCTTTCTTGTTTTTTTTTAGAAGACTTCTTGCTGCTTGCTGGGACATCTTGATTTTCTATGTTATTTTCTGTTGAGCTTTCTTCTGTACATTTTTCGGCACATTCTGACACCATTTTTGTAGAACTCTCTGTATTTTGTCTGTTTTCTTTAGAAGAAGTTGAACTTGAATCACTGTTATAGTCAATTTTTTTTTCAGCGTGGATCTGCATTATAATCAGGATCCCAGACTGAATCGTCACTATCAAACATATTCTCGACATCAGTAGGTATGACGGTGTAGGGTACGAACATTCAGACATTGCAATATTGTTTCTTTTAGAAACATCGGGAATCGTCTCAAATAGATTTCTTTTTATAGCGTGAATTCGTTTACGATCCTTATCTACTCTGTAACAAAAAAATTACATGAGTTTTGACGCTCTCCTGGCAGAAATATCATCAAATTAGTGGTTATTTGTTCCACATGCCAAATTCTTATTCTGATACATTCATATTATTAAATTTGGTAATATAGTGAAGAACACACCATTAAATAGATAGTATGTATACATTTTTACACACGTAAATAAATAATATATCCATTTACTTACCGGTTTTATACTTTTATTTATCACATCCAGTCGCCACCATACAAGAAGTAAGACACGTTAACCTCAACTCACTGCATAACACTGGCATGGGGCACAAACAAGCACCGAAGCACCGAATGGGCGTGTGAAATACTGGCTTCCTATTGGCATTTGAATATAACTGAAATAACCCATAAAATAACCATATATGGCACAGAGTTACAAAGGTATTACAGAAAAGTCTTGGCTGTTGGAGTTATCAGGGTCAAATTACATGTTAGTTCTCTGTTACATACATTATTATGTTGGCAATGTTTCATTACAACTTCTAACCCGAAAAAGTAGAAAATGTGGTATGGAACAAATAAGCACTAACCCGATGATATGTCTGGCTTTAAGATAATTTGCCAACGCATTATAAGGCACCATAAGAAGAAGAAGCAAAAAATAGTTACTAAATTTACTAGAGAGTTTGGACTGGGATCAGCGAACCGGTATATTTACAATCTTTAAGAGGAATTAACCGCAATTTCAGTTGAAAAGATGTTTATTTTTATGTTTTGATTTTCATTTAGGAAATTGTCCAAAAATACAAATTAAACAATTATTGTTATTGTTAAACACTATCATTGTTATTTTTATGTCAGAAATTGTATGAATCAACTAATTTTTTTCAACACACAGTCAAAAAGACAATCACCTTCTTTATATTGATAATTGGTTTTTATTGATACCTCTTTTGAATGAGCTAGTTCAAAAAAAAATATATTGTCTAGAAACAGTCTGCTCAAAATGTCTTCCTAGATGTCCTTTATTGTCAGACAAAATCCTGAAAACAAGAAGACGCGGATCGTTTCGGGAAATAGAGCTTAAAACTGATAATGTACCTTGCAGAATTATCAAATGGCACGAATCTCATGCAGCATTGCTCATCTCCAACTTTTCGTCTGCCAAACCTCTTGATACAATAATAAGATAGGATAAAACAAGAAAACATACTGTAGATGTTCAGTGCCCCACAGCAATTAGAACTTACAATAAATTCACGGGCAGAGTAGATCTTATGAATTCACTAATCAGTCCATATAGAATCACAATTACATCAAAGAAATATTACCATCATTTTTTATTCCATTTTATGGATATGGCAGTTGTAAATTGTAGGCTTTTATATAGATGTGACTGCAATGATTTTGGTGGTCCAAAGGAAAATGAACTGTCTCTGAGTATAAGAGTCACATAGCCGAAAGCCTAATGAAGCAAGGAAAGACACTGACAGTTACCACGAAATTAGGATGTCCCAGCAGTAGCTCTATTGATGATCTCAATGGAGCAAAAAAACACAAAAGTGCAGCTACAAAAAGATTCCTCTAAAGGATATTCGGCAAGATCTAAAGCAGTTCCTGTGCATTATTGTGCAATGTGTACTTATGTAATTACTATTAAACTGGGAATAAGCCACAATTAAAGATAAAAATACGTTTATTGACGTTTCAATTTCCACTTCGGAAATCGTTTTCAAAATACATGGTTTGTATTTCGAACGATTTCCGAAGTGGAAATTGAAACGTCAATAAACGTATTTTTATCTTTAATTGTGGCTTATTACATGGTTTGTATTTACATGGTTTGTATTTTGAAAACGATTTCCGAAGTGGAAATTGAAACGTCAATAAACGTATTTTTATCTTTAATTGTGGCTTATTCCCAGTTTAATAGTAATTAATTTACAATGCCACAAGAAAATAGCTTCAGTGTACTTATGTATTAATAAAAATTACGATTACAATATGTTTTTATGATTTTCATCATAATTAAAATTTGTCAAGGTATTCAAAAATGATGTTTTTGCACCAATAAATATTTGCATTAAAATTATTGTATTACATATAGATGCCTAATGTGACGTTTTCGTAACATTTAAAATTTTCAAATTTTAAATAATATATAAATATTAATATGTCATACACATAATTATCTATTTGTAAATAATAAATTGAAATCAAACATTTTTGTTATACACATAATTATTGGTTTAAATTAATTTTAAACATTTTTTCAGAAAAATGTTTAAAATGTTGGAAATTTCGTCCTTAGAGGGTTAATAATTTCGTCTTAAATCTAAATATAGTATATAATAAATCAATATTATAAATGTTAACGAATGTATGAATATGTGTAAAATGTGTTTACGAATTGACATAAATTAAGTTTTAACTGTTATTTTATTACTTTCATTTACTTAGTTCAGTTTTGTTTAGATACTTTTTTGTTTAGATGTACCATCCCTGTATGATTTATATATACAAAAAGAAAGTATTTGATGAACATTTTATGAAGAGTTAAAAAATAAATTACATTACCTTTATTTCCATCATCTGTTCTAACAGAATTTGGAATTTTCTTGTTTGTAAATGTATCTAATTTCTTTTCATTTGACTTGATAGTTTTCTTTTCAGTAACTTTCTGTTCATTGTTGATTTTTGATGGGGCTTTGGACTTTTCTACAGGTATCTTGCTTTTTTTAGCTCTGTCAGTTTTAACACCAGTTTTAAGATTGGAGACATATTGTGTACTATCAATATTTGATTCTATTGATTTTGCCAGTGCTTGAAGTAATAAATTTGTATTTGTTGGTTCTAAACCAGCAACGATTTTACTTGCTCTAACCGATAAATTATTATCGCTAAGGCTTTCTAAAATAAAAAAAACATAGGGAATGAAGTTTTGAAATTGACCCATATTTCACAAATAATATTGATTAAATTAAACTTACTGATAGCATCTATTAGTTTATTTAAAAAGGCAACTTTCGCATCTTTATCCTTAACATTATCGGAAACCAATTCATAATCTGAATATAGTCCTTTTAAGAACCCAGTTTCTTTAATTGTAGTGGTAATGACATCATGCAAAAACCGGAATGGTGGTTTTTTTAGCAATTTTTCAGTTAATGGAGGTTTTTTTACATATTTGCCTAAATATTTTTGTGTTTTCTGTATAATATCTGCACTAACATCCTGCGTCATTTTCTGCTTTTTCCAGAAATCAGTAATTATACTAGGTACACTTCACATTTTCCAAATATTCAAAGATAACCTCCATTGATATTGTTGATATTCAATAACTACGTTACCATGGAAACAAGTGTTTGTGACAACCCAGTGGCATGTTGGTTTGAAATTTATAACACAAAATAAAATAAAATTTAAAAAGTGGTACATTTAGGTGGTACTGTAGACTAGCGTGAAGCTTTATATTTTTTTTTATGTACTTTTAAGGTTTAAATAATACTTTTAAAATAAATAATTTTATTTTAGTAATTTTATTATTTTTTTCATAGATTTTAAAATTGAACATGTTTACATGTTGTATAACGGACACTCCTCGTCGCGTAAATGGATTCTTCCAACTGTTTAAATATTTTATGGCTCCATAAATATTTTGTGGCTGGTACCAAACCATTCGCTCACTTGCGGAACCAATCTTGTCTTCAAAACCCTCATATATTGGTCTTGTCGCATATGGTTCCTTCTAAAATATACAGACACCCCATACCTTTGCCACTAATCACCGACCGGATCATGAGGTGGGATGTTTAACTGTTTTAATTACACAAACTTGTGAATATGAATAACAATTATGAAAATAAAATGATTTGTAATAATTTACCTTACGCCAATCATCAAATAGACCAGTCCTTACGGATGTTGGCACAAATTAAGCGTTTTTTAAGCATTCGTGGTATTAGTTTTAGCTTTTTACCAAGCCTGCGACATTTAAAGCCCATATCATACAAATTTTCACGTATGGTGGCCATCGATACTGAGCATCCTACTTCTTCCAACTTATTTCTCAAATCTCTATGGGTGGCCCTTCTGTGTGTTACACCAAAGCAACGACCTGTGACGTCAGTTCGTTTCTCTTTGAGTTTTTGACTCAATCTTCTTACTGACGACTGGGATACACCACATTGTCATGCTATCTCTCTCTGACTGCTATATTCTCTAATAAAGCAGTAATGGACGAGATTTTCTCAACGAAAAGATCTTTAGATTTACTCATCTTAAAATTCCAATCCAAGATTAATCGTCTTTATTTATGTTTGATTAATGGTCTACTGCCGGTCATTTAACCGGCAGCAGCTTAGAAGCTAAGAGTGGTAACCTCATTATATTTTTAAATATTACTATATTTCAATCTTAATCAATCTAATAATGTTACCTACAGTTAAAATTAAATTTAACTAATAATATACTGTTGGAAGTGCATCTTATGATCTTGTTAGTTCTCTGCAAATTCATGTTTTTTACTTAAGCTTGTTTACATAATTTTTATATACGTGTACAATCACATGGTCTTTTGCTGTGCTAAGTTTGAGTTAATTTGTAAATTGTATTTAGTTTCAATTAATTGTTTATAAAACATAATCTTCTAATGTCCATTGTCGTAAGCTTCTTTACATATTTAATATCATTGACTACTACATATCTTTTTGAGATGAACTAATGATGCTTTCTTATTAGAAAGCGAAACGTCTTCAATAAATAGATGAAGTAGCCCCTTTTTTGTCTTTTTTCTCTCCACCTTCTGACCGAAAAACCCACTACTCTTCGAGTGATCCTTAATTTATATTAGATTGGATATATATATATATATACAGATTGAACCAAATTAAAACGGAACATACAATTTAATACATGTCTGTTTGAACTGCATTTAAAATAGTGGACCAATATAAAACTTGGACAAAAATAAATCCATACCTGGGTATAGACATTGTATAAAATATCGTTCAACTATCTGTCTCGCAACAAAGTTGTTTGCGTAAGACGGGTTTGTCTAAGGAGGCGTAATAGTTCAGGAATTGAAGCTCGAAAAAAGTTAAAACCTCGCAATTTTTTCGTCCTGCATGTATCCAGTTGAAATTTTAGCAGAAGGTAGGTAATAGCCCAAGGATCAAAATCTATATCGAACCGAAGTGCGCTGAAGGGTTTTAGGGGTGAAAACTACCCCTAATTGTCAAAAATTATAAAATAACATATTAAACCTGAATATGGGTAAGATTTGGTTTGAATTAATTAAATAATGATTATTTTATACTTTTGAATAGAGTTCCATCATATTTCAACCCTTAAAAAGCAACCCTTGTTAGAGATTAATGTAAAAAATTACTAATTCTAAAAAAATGATTTCGCCTTGGATCGATTTGGATAAAAATTTGGATTTAAGCTCAATTCACCCGCTGCTTTATAGTTTATGTCATGTCGACGAACCCTGATTGTTCTTAGGGGTGAAAACTACCCCTAATTGTCAAAAATTATAAAATAACATATTAAACCTGAATATGGGTAAAATTTGGTTTGAATTAATTAAATAATGATAGTTTCGTGCTTTTCAATAAAGTTCCATCATATTTCAACCCTTAAAAAGCGACCCTCATTAGAGGTTAATATAAAAAAATTAGTAATGCGAAGAAAATGATTTCACCTTGGAACGACTTGCATAAAAATTTGGAATTAAGCTCAACTCACCCTCTACTTTATAGTTTATGTCATGCCGATGAACCCTGATTGTTCTTAGGGGTGAAAACTACCCCTAATTTTCAAAAATTGTAAAATAATATTACAAATTCTAAGATGAGTGAAATTTAGTTTGGATTAGTTAAATAGTGAGTATTTTACACTTTAAAATACAAATTCATACATTTTCAACCCTTAAAAATCAATTGTTATGAGTGCTATAGGTGAAAACAATTTTTTGCCAAAATTTTGCAACTTTTCAACTTTTGAAAATCACCCTTTACAACATTGCAGTTTTTTTAAACTAATTTATAAGATATAAATTGAAAAAAGTAGAATTAAATACAAAAAAAATTATCAACATAAAAAGGCACCATATATTCTTATACATTTACATAAATAGTTGAAAATATTTACATTTATAGGTAAAACAATTATAATATTAATTTTATTCGTCATCAATTACATCTTCATGTGATCTATGTCATCATCATCTTCCTCAATTATTGGTGGACTGTTATTGCACCCTTCACCTGAGCACCAAGAACAAGTAGAGTTACAGTATAAACCAACTTTTCTGCACCCATATGAAACGCCGCATCCTTTTTTGCATTGCCAAAAAATAATTTTCAAAAATTTATCAGGTGCAGGTTGTTTGTTCATGCGTTCATGCAGGTTTTTAAATGGGGTGAGTTTAAAGCGCTCGAAAAAGATGGTGCTTGATCGTAAATCGATGCTTTAAACGGCTATATCTCGCCAAATATTCATTGTACAACAAATCTAAATAAAGGATAATTTGAGTCATTAAAAAAGCTACAATTTGGTAATTTTTATTTTTTTCATATATTCAGTATTTTCGGGCATATTTAAAAAAAGAAGGGTAAAAAATATGAAATTGTAAATCGTTTCTTGCTTTAAGCTGTACTTTTTCTAAAACTAAGCATTTTAAATGGGTCAAACTTCTTGGACGTATTAACAATACATCTACAAAGGGAATTGCAGAAGGGTGAAGATCGATTTTAATTATGGGGGTGGTTAGGTTGTTGTTTTTCTCGATTTTTTCGTAAAAAATGAGGTATTGACCTTATTTTTTTATGATAGGTCTATTTATGCTCTTTAAAAAACGTTTTGTGAGTTTTCTTCCAAAAATGCATCATTTTCCCGATATTTGACTTTGAATCTTTCAAATTTGGCATTTGAAGAAAACCGCTGAACATTGATATTGTATTTGTAATTGTATTTCTCTTTTTAAAAGCTACAAATTTGTTCTCTACAATTTTTTTGATAAAATGCACCATTTTCGAGTTATTCGCGAAAATCGATTAAAAACGTGGATTTTTTCGTCTAAAAGTTGTTACTTTCAATCGCGAATAACTTGAAAAATATCGTTTTATAAAAAAATGTATCACATTTTTTGTTTAGAATCACTTTTCTAATCGAAACCTGTAGTAAAAACGTAAAAAAAAATTTCACCCCGGAGATGGGGTGGCAACCACCCCCTAGGCTTTGGCGCACTTTGGTTCAATATAGATTTTGATCCTTAGGCTATTATCTACCTTCTGTTAAATTTCAAGTCAATCCACGCCGCACGAAAAAATTGCGAGGTGAAATGCTACATTTCCTGGACTATAACTGGTTTGACAGCATAATAAAATCGTAGATTTATGTGTAGCTTTCAATTTTTATGAGTTCAGAATCCAGCAGCCCACTGAAGTATGGGATTTTTTATAATATAATTATTTGACAATCTTTTGTTGGCCAACCAGCTACAGCAGAATTGAGCCGAAATACATTATATTCCTATGTTCCGAATTTATTTCGTTCAATCTGTATATATATATATATATATATATATATATATATATATATATATATATATATATATATATATATATATATATGTATATATATATGAAGTAACAAGAAGTCGAGAGACCTCTCTGATAGCAAATTAGGTGAACCGCAAATTCAAAGCCTCTTGAGGCTTTTTTTGTCGTTAAAACCTTTTTAAAACAACATGTAAGATTGGAAGACAAAAATTCACCTCCAAATACCTGGTGAAAACAATATCGAAACTGAAAATATTGCAATCAATTGGCGCCTATTTCAAAGAGACTCGTTAAGTCCACTCCACTGTGGTTTTGTCTAGCGATAAACTCCCTATCCCAGCTACTGACTCAACTGACACAGGTTTTAGCATCAAAAATAACACTACTGTTGTGGTAGAGCTTAATCATCTATTGTATATCGATGATTTAAAACTATTGGCTTTCACTCGAAGCCACCTGGATCAGATGCTGAAAACAGTGGAAAATTTCTCTACTGATATTAGTATGCACTTTGGCCTTGGTAAGTGCCGTGTCTTAAATATAATTAAAGGAAAGGTTCAGCCCGGTGGATTCGATATGCAAAACGGCCAGAACATCGAGGCCATGAGTGAAAATGATATGTATAAATACCTCGAAATAAAGCAAGCGCGGAAGATTGACCATAAGCAAATAAAAACTTAAATAACTACTGAGTTTATACGAAGGGTAAAACAGCTGCTTCGTTCACATTATAATAGTAAAAATTTGT